TTGGCGCACCTGTCAACTTATACATGTGTTGTATGTAGAAGTTATAGGCTAGCCTAGGTGTGTGCTTCTAGTGAGTACAACCCCAGGAGGTATATGTTCTAGGTTTCTCACACTAGTCAATTCATTCTCGTATTCTAACACGGTATCACGCTAAGGTTAGGTCCCCCGCCCACCCGCTCCCGCCCACGCCCTAGCCTACGCGCCCTAGCTAGCCCCTTAGCGCCTGGCCCCTTCGCGCCCACTAGGCCCCCCATCGCGCTCGCTAGGCTCCGTCGCGCCCGCTAGGCCCCGTCGCGCCTGCTAGGCCCCGTCGCGCCCGCTAGGCCCCGTCGCGCTCGCCCGGCCCGTTACGCCCGCCCGGCTCCTACCACGCCCTCTCACGGCCTCCCGGCCCCTTTCACGCCTACCTGGCCCGTAGCCCCCGCCCGGCCTTTCGCGCCAGGCCGGCCCCGTCGCGCCCGCTCGGCCCCTCCTAGCTCCCGCACGGCCCTTCGACCGTAGGTCCGGCCCCTCCCTAGCTCCTGTCAGGCCCCCGTAGCGCCCGCCCGGCCCCTCCTAGCGCCCGCGCGGCCCCCCGTAGCGCCCTCTCGGCCCCTCCTAGCACTAGCCCGGCCCCAGCAGCGCCCGCCCGGCCTACTCCTAGCGCCGCCCGGCCCCTCCTAGCGCCAACCCGACCCCATCGGTTCCCGCCCGGCCTCCTCCTAGCGCCGCCCGGCCCCTCCTAGCGCCGCCCGGCCCCTCCTAGCGCCCGCCCGGCCTTTAGCGCCTGCCCGGCCCCAGTGCGCCCGCCCGGCCTCTCGCGCCAGCCCGGCCCCATCGCACCTGCCCGGCTCCCAGCGCCAGCCCAGCACCTTTCTACTGCTTGCCCGGCCCCTCCTCGTGCCTGCTCGGCCTGTCGCGCCACCTCGGGCCCCGTGTCTTCTGCTCGCCCACGCTGGAGCGCCTCGCAGCCGCCCCACTGGAGAGTGCTGCCGCCGTGTCCCCGTGCCGCTGTGCTCCTGCGGAGCTGTGAGCTGTGTCGCTGCGGAGCTGTGCCGCTGACCCTGCATGATGGCAGACTTCGTGCTCCGACTGGACGCCAAGGGCCACGCGGTTGACTTCGCCGTCTGGCTCTCCGATCTCCGCCGTCAGCTTACAGGTCAGCGCCAGGATGGGCACTCTTTGGTGGTCCATGCTGATGGCTTGCTCCCCCGCCCCCCTGCACCTGCTCCCCTCCCTGCTGACCCCATCTCTGCTAAGAGTGAGGCTTTCTCTACTGCTGCACTTGCTTGTGCAGTCTGGGACTCTCGCGATGCAGTAGCTCAGGTTGCCATCAGTCACGCCCTCCCTGTGTCTGAGCGCTCTCGCTTCGCTACGCTTGATACGGCCAAAGCTTATTTAGACGCTGTTGTTGCTCGCTATTCCACGCCTGCATCCGCTTCTGCCGGCCGCCTGCTCTTCCCGATGCTGTTCCCAGACCTTGCTGCCTTCCCTACCGTCGCAGACTTTGCCACTCACCTGCGTGCTCTAGAGTCTCGCTATTGCACTGCCAGCACTGCTGCCCAGCTCACTGCGCTCCCCCCCCCATTCTGCATGACGCTCTATTTTATCGCCATGCGCCTGCCGGACCTCCTCGCTAGTGCTCGCGACCGCTTCCTTAGCCAGCACCCGGGTGACCTCACCCTGACCACCTTTGTCGACACCCTCACCGAGATTGAGACTCGCCAGCGCACTATCGCTCAGTCGAGCGGTGCGACGGCAGTCTCTATCTTTCACGGTTGTGCCCCCTCCCAATGCACGTTTACTGACATTTTGGCTGCAGTCGCCACTGCGACCCCTCTTACCGAGATGGCTACTGCGGTCCACCCGCAGCAGCGCCCGCGCCGCACTGGCCGTGGCCACCAGGGCGATCGTGGTGGTGGAGCTGGTGGTAGTGGTAGTGGTGGTGGTGACGGTAGTCTGCCTGACGGGACTACCACCGGTGGGCAGGAGCACACGCAGTCGCCTCCGCAGCAGGAGCAGCCGCCGTCACAGCAGCAGCCGCCGCAGCCGTGGGCTCGTCTCCCGCCTGGTTGGCCCAGTACCTCCGGCGGTGGTGGCCGTGCTGGTGGCCCGCGCAGCTTGGCGTCTACCGGCAGCTCCGCTGGTGTGACCTGCCAGTACCAGCTTCAGACCGGGCCTCTCAGCGGCACTCAGTGGCGCCGCCCGCACCCGACCGCGCGCTATTTCCGCCGCCTCGACGATCTCTTTCGTCGTCGCTTTGGCCCGGCCCCGGACCTCCCCGACTGGCACAGCCTGCTCCGCCAGGGCATGCCGATCTTTGAGTTAGACATGGATCAGATAGGTGTTGCTTTGCATGCCTTGTATTCTGACACTTCTAGTATTGCTGTATCTTATTACCCTGTGTACTCTAGTTTAGGTGTTGCACCCTTGTGTAGCTTAGACTCCCCTGCTGCGTCAGGCATAGGACTGCCTAGTTTGCCTAGCCTAGTTTCTGCACCGCCTCCATTCCCGGCCTCCGCTACTACCTCGCTGTCCTTCACTCTCGACTCCGGTGCTTCTGCCTGCTTCTTCCGCGACCGCTCCACGCTCATGCCGCTTGCTGCGCCTGCTGTTGTCTCTCTCGCTGACCCCTCTGCGGGTCCTGTCGTCGCTCGTAGTTCCACTTCCCTTCCCTGTCCAGCCGTTCCCTCAGGCTCTCTTACAGGCCTCCACGTTCCCTCGTTCTCGAGGAACCTGGTTGGTGTCGGCTGTCTTCAGAACCTCGGCGTCACCACCACGTTCCCCGGGCATGAGCAGTTCACTGTCTGTTCTGAGGCTATCTAAGGTTCCCCCCTTGCGACGTTCCCCCGGGACCCGGTGTCCGGTCTGTTTACCCTCGACACTGCTTCCCCCCCGGTTGGTGCGTCCTCCCACGTCGCTGCAGCTTGCTCGTGTCGGTCCCTCACTCACCCGTCCCTTCTGTGGCACCAACGCTTAGGTCACCCTGCTCTCCCGCGTCTGCGTCACATGTCTCAGCATGGTCTTGTCTTAGGCCTCCCTGCGTCGTTCCCTGCCCTTCCCCCCTCGCCGGCGCCATCGTGCACGCCTTGCGTCGAGGGCCGGCTCCGCCGTGCTCCTCACTCCTCGCTTCGACCAACTACTGCCCCCCTTCAGACCCTGCACCTTGACGTTTGGGGACCGGCCCCCATCCCCCGACCGCGAGGTGGGCGCTAATTTCTTGTGCTCGTCGACGACTATACGCGCTACACCACGGTGTTTCCCCTGGAGCGGAAGGCCGACGTGCCCGACGTTCTTCTACCGTGGGTTGTGGCTGCGCGTCTCCATCGCGGTCTCCCCGTGTTGTGTCTCCACTCTGACCGTGGCCGCGAGTTCGCCTCTGGTCAGCTTTGGACGGTTCTGTCGTGCGAAGGGCATCACCTAGTCGTACACCTTGCCGGACTCGCCACAGCAAAATGGGGTTGCTGAGTGCCGCATCGGCTTGGTCATGGAGGTGGCTCGTACCTCCATGATCCATGCCGATGCCCCCCATTTTCTGTGGCCATTCGCTCTTCGCAACGTTGCTCACCAGCTTAACTTGTGGCCCCGCTCCCAGCGGCCGCAGGTTTCGCCAACCCTCCTTTGGACCGGGTCCCCCGGTGACGCGTCAGCGTTCCACGTCTGGGGTGCCTTGCTCACGTTCGTGCCTCTGGCACGGACAAGCTCACTGCCCGCACTGTCCCTTGCATCTTCCTTGGTTTCCCCCTGGACTCGTCTGACTGGCTCGTCTACCACCCCCCGTCTCACCGCTTCCTCCACTCTCGTGACGTCACCTTTGACGAGTTTGTCTCCTTCTACCGTCGCTTCCCTCACCGAGGTCTCCCGGTTTCCCCACCCCTGTTCCTTGCTCCCTCTCCCCCGGTAGCCCCTGCTCCCCTCCCGCCTCGTCCTGCCTTGTCTGGCGTCTCTCACGTCACTCCCCTCCCGCCGGTCGTCCCCGTTGAGGAGTCTGCTGACTCTGGTTGTCCCCCCGGCCCGCCCTTGTCACGTCCTCCTTCCCCGGTGTCTCCACCTCTGCTGTCGCAGTCACCGCTGCCGCTGTCGCAGTCGTAGCCGTTGCCACCGCCGCCGCCGCCGCCGCCGTCGCCGCCGCTGCCGCTCTTGGTCTCTGGGGGTGTTGGCATTGAGGAGGGTGATCGTCCTGCGGCTCCTGGCGTCGTCTGTCCCGGCGGGCCTGGGGGTGCCGCTGCTGCTGGAGGGAGTTCTCGCTCTGGGGGTGTTGGTTCTGGGGGTGCTGCCGTTGAGTGTTCTCCCGGCGGTCGTCGTGCCTCTGCCGGTCCGGGGTTCGGGCACCAGCCGCCGTCACAGCCGGTCTCCGCTCTTCGCCTGCTCGGCCTTCCCTCCCCTGACCACTCGCCGGTGTCTCCCCCGCCACCTCCTCGCCTTCCTGTCTACGGCCCTGTGTTCCCGCCGCCGGACTTGTCTCCGGTACGTATTCCTCCTCGTTCCCCTCTTGTGTCCCCTCCATTGTCTCCTAACCCTACCCCTCCGTCCCACGTTTGGTCTTGCCGTCCCTCACGTGCTCGTCCCGTCTCTCCTGTCCTGCGCTCCCACCCTAGGTTGGTCCCTTCCCACTCGTCTCGTCCTCCCCTCCTCCCGTCGCCTCCTCCCTCGTCGCTTGTTGTTGCCCCTCCTCCGCTATCTGACTACATCCGTGCCGCTCGTCCCCTTGTCCCTTGGGTTCTTGCCTATCTTGTTACAGACCCGTCTGTTCCTGTCTCGTGTCTTGACGCGCTTGTCGCTTCTGTCGCTGACTTCGCCTCTACCCGCCGCCTTGACTACTCTACTGCTCTGGTCTCTGACCCTACCTGCCCTAAGTCCGTCGGGGGTGCACGTGCCCTTGGCAGTGACGTTCTAGAGGACAGGCAGTACGAGCTTGCTTTCCTTTCCGAGGCCGCTCCGCATCTCTGCTCCATGCTCCTAGTCCCAGAGGGTGACCTAGACGCCTTCGACATCCCGACCCCTCGCACCTACGCCGAGGCCACCTCGGGACCCTGGGCCTCTTAGTGGATAGCTGCCATGGAGCAGGAGATGGCATCTTGGAGGTCCACCGGCACTTACGTCGACGCAGTTCCCCCTCCTGGGGTGAACGTAGTCGATGGTCGGTGGCTCTTCAAGGTGAAGCGCCCCCTGGGAGAGCCGCCTGTCTTCAATGCGTGCTATGTGGCTAGAGGCTTCAGCCAGCGTTAGGGGGTGGACTTCTTCCAGACCATCTCCCCGACCCCGAAGATGACTACTCTTTGGACACTGCTACACATAGCAGCACAGCGCGACTACGAGCTTCACTCCCTCGATTTCTCTACTGCCTTTCTTCAGGGCAGCCTACACGAGCAGGTCTACCTGTGCCGACCACTGGGCTTCACTGGTACCTTCCCCCCTAGGACCCAGTGGCTTCTCAGGCGCCCAGTCTACGGCCTGCGCCAAGCTCCCCACGAGTGGCAAGACACGCTGCGTGCCACGCTAGCAGACTTGCATTTCTTTCCGTCCTCTGCTGACCCCTCGCTTTTTGTGCATTCCGGCCACACCCTGTGCTATATCCTTGTCTACGAAGACGACCTGGTCTTCGCTACTGCCGACAGGGACGCACTGGCCTCCGTGAAGGCCGAGCTGCTGAAGAGACACACCTGCACTGACCTTGGAGAGCTGCGGCGCTATCTTGGCCTGCAGATCTCCAGGGACAGAACAGCACGCACCATCACTCTGACACAGTCATACTTGGTGCGTCAGGTCCTTTTGAGGTTCGGTCCTCAGTTCTCCTCTGCACAGCCCATACCTGTTTCTGTAGACCATGGGCTCTCCGCTCCCGTTCGTGAGGAACCAGTAGAGCTCAGCGGCCCCTAGGCAGAGCTGGTTGGCTGCCTCATGTACCTGATGACCTGCACTCGCCCAGATCTCGCATACCCTCTCAGCATCCTGGCTCGCTTTGTGGCCACCGGCAGACACCGACCACAGCACTGGTCGGCCGCTAAGAGGGTTTTGCGATATCTCGCAAGTACATCGGGCATGGGGTTAGTGCTTGGAGGACGCAGGCCGGTGGTCCTTACTGGGCACACAGACGCTTCTTGGGCAGACGACGCCGAGACTCTCAGGTCGTCGCAGGGCTACTGTTTTAGCTTTGGTTCGGGTGCTATCTCTTGGAGATCCACTCGCTCCTCATCTGTTGCTCAGTCCAGCTGTGAGGCTGAGATCTACGCCAGTGCCATGGCGGCACAGGAGCTCCGCTGGCTGACCTTCTTGCTCACAGACTTAGGTGAGCGGCCTAGCTCTGCCCCGGTCCTGTACGCTGACAACATGGCCATGATTCTCCTATTTTAGGAGCCTCGACTTGAGGGAAGAGCGAAGCATATCCAGCTGCGGTACTTCCTCCTGCGCGAACTACAGCAGCGTCGCTAGGCCCGCGTAGTTCACTTGGCCTCCGGTGCAAACTCAGCTGATATCTTTACTAAGGCGCTTGCGCCTAAAGATCATCAGAGGCACTGTGTACAGCTTGGTCTTGTTCCTGTAGCTTCTCACTTGCTAGGACCCTGATTGTGTACTCTCTATTATATAAACCTGCCTGACTGGCGTTGTGGCCTTGCTTCCAGTGGCTGGACTAGTAGTGCCGCCCTGGCTTGCTTTAGTCTTGTTTGTACTCTTGCTGACTGGTCTTCGGACCCGTGCCTCAGTGGTTGGACTATTAGTGCCACCCTGAGCTGTGTGCCTCTTGCTTAGCACCACCCCTTCTCTAGCATAGGGTGTCACTGGATCGAATGTGTCGAGGAAAGGTTGCACTATCGATCAGTACAAGGCGCTTTTATACTTCCAAGGTACATCAGGTAACCAAGTTTATCTTATCTCAAGGGAATAGACCCTTCTAGAAGATAGAATCACCCTGCATATAGCCACGCGAGGCTATTGGCTTTAAGGGATTACGGCAGGATTACGCCAGATAGCGCACCAGTACATCCCAAGCCTGGTCGGTGATATAATTATAATAGTAGGATAAACCAAAGGTTAATGGAAAATGGAGAATAGGAAATCAAAGGAGATGGGATAAAAACAGAAATGAAAGAGGAAGGAAATAAGAAAAGGGACAAGTGGTGTAACGGGGTCGTACTCTCACACTTCCCCCCCTCAAAGCCGGGTGGTAGAAGTAACACCCTGCTTGACAAGGTAGTCGTGCAGAGGACGACATGCGTTACCCATGTCGGACTCAGGTACCCAGCTGTCCTCAGAAGGATCATAACCCTTCCAACGGATGAGAAGCTCCACGGCGCCATTCCGACGACGGCGGTGTGCAAGCACAGATTCGACCTCGTACTCGGGTTCATTGTGGACGAGGATGGGCGGTGGCGGCGGCGGTTGGCGTCCGACGAAGATCGTTTTCGGATCCCGATATTGCTTCAGAAGTTGGACATGGAAGGCGTTGTGAATCTTCTAGGTAGCTGGCAGGCGTAAGCGGAAGGTAACAGGAGTGACTTGTGCTTCAACGAGGAAAGGCCCGCAGAAGCAAGGTCGTAGTTTAGATGGGAGGTGGCTGATGTCCAGGTTGCGGGTGTCAAGAAGCACCTGGTCTCCCACCGTGATGGTGTGGTCATTGCGATGGCAATCGGCCTGGCGCTTTTGTTGCTGCTGAATGTCGAGGAGACGCTTGTGGGTCCGATCCCAAAGCTGATGCATGGTTGTGATGAAATCATGCGCAGGTTGGGCTGTAGCGGATGTGGTCGGTTTCTGTGGTGTGAGTGGGTGGCGTCCGTAGCAGAGGAAGAACGACGTCTGTCCAGTAGCGGCATGTGTAGCGTTGTTGTAAGCAAATTCTAGAACGGGCAGGTGCAGGTCCCATTTGGAGATCTCGTCCTTGCAGGCTGCTCGGAGGAGTTGCTCCACAATTTGGTTGAGGCGCTCGGTCTGTCCGTCTGTCTACGGATGGTATGCGGATGACATGGCGAGTTTGGTCCCGAGTAGAGACATAAGTTCCTTCCAGAACTTGCTGGTGAACTTGGGGTCTCGGTCGGAGATGAGTGTGGTTGGGATGCCATGCTGTGAGATGATGTAACGAACGAAGAGTTGTGATGTCTCCTCGGGGCGTGCTGTCGTGTGTGTCGGGATGAAGTGTCCCATTTTGGAGAACTTGTCGATGGCGACAAGGATTGCGTCATGACCGCTAGTGGTAGGTGGTAACCCGGTGATGAAGTCCAGGCTAACCACTTGCCATGGTTGTTCTGGGACAGGAAGAGGCTGTAGTAGTCCCGCCTTATTCTGCTTGCTGCTCTTCATCCGCTGACATGTATCATACGAGGTGACAAATTTTTGTACGTCATCTGCCATGTAGGGCCAATAGTAGTGTTTGGCGATACTGGTGAGCGTCTTGTTGCTACCGAAGTGTCCGGCGTAGAGGACGTCGTGGTATTCTTCGAGTAGTAACTGGCGCAAAGGAGGGTAATTGGGTACCCAGATTTTCGTTGATCCTTTCCGGTACACAATGTCGTTGCCCCACTGTAGTAGATGTCGTTTTTCTGCCAAGGGAATTTCGGGGTCGATGGTATACCCGTGTGTGAAGAGTCCCTTGAGTAGTGGATTCATCCCTTCGGCCTGAATAGCGGCAACGTGTGCAGGCCGGCTGAGGGCGTCTGCTTTGTTTTTGTGGCCGGGCTTGTACACGATGTCGTAGTGGAAGTGTGGCTCGAGGAAGTCGATCCACCGGACCTACCGCCTGGAAAGGTTGGGTTGTGTCTTCAAGTATTTCAGGCTGCAGTGGTCGGTGTAGACGGTTGTTCTTCGCCCTTCGAGATAACATCTCCACGCTTTGAAGGCGATGACAATGGCAAGGGCCTCTTTGTCGTGTATCAGGTAGTTTAGTTCTGCTCCTTGTAGTTTCTTGCTGAGGTATGCGATTGGTTGCAGTCCATTCCCCTGGTCTTGCATCAAGACTGCTCCCACTGCCTGGTCGCTGGCGTCAACTTCGGTTATGTAGTCGCGTTCGGGGTCGGGCAAGATGAGTACCGGGGCGGTCGTGAGTGCTTGTTTCAGCTGCTCCATGACTTCCTGGTGCTTGGATTCCCATTTGTAGGGCGTGTTCTTCTTCTGCAGATTTGTGAGTGGTGCTGCGAGTTTCGCATACTGTGGCACGAACCTGTTGTAATAGTTCGCGAAGCCTAGGAACTGCTGCAACTCGTTCACGTTCTCGGGTGTCTTCCACGTACGTACGGCTTCGATTTTCTTGGGGTCGACGTGAACTCCTTGAGCGCTCACCATGTGTCCTAGGAACTGGACGTTCTCAAGGGCGAATTCGCTCTTGGACAGTTTGACGTAGAACCGTTCTCGTCGAAGAATTTCGAAGACGCGTCGCAGGTGTTCGACGTGCTGCTTCATGTCGCGCGAGTAGATGAGGATGTCGTCCAGGTACACCACCACGCACTCGTCCAAATGTGGTCGTAGAATGTGGTTCATTTCGGCTTGGAACGTTGCCGGTGCGTTGGTGAGCCCGAACGGCATTACCAAATACTTGTACGATCCATATCGAGTTCGGAAAGCAGTTTTGTGGATAGAGTTGTCCGCCATCCGTATCTGCCAGTATCCGAACCGCAGATCCAGTTTGGAAAATACCGTAGCTCCCCGAAGCTGGTCAAGCAGGTCATCGATTCGTGGTATCGGATATTTATTCTTGATGGTCTGCTTGTTAAGAGCTTGGTTGTCGATGCACATGCGCAGGCTTCCGTACGGTTTCGGTGTGAAGAGTACTGGGGCACCGTATGGTGAAGTGGATGGCCGGATGAGTCCTTTGGCTAGGAGATACTCGATCTGTTTTTTCATGTCGGTCAGCTCCGTAGGGCTGAGCCGGTATGGTGCTCGGAAGGTCGGTTTCGAACTCGGTTCCTCCACGATCTCGTGTTGATGCGTTCGGTATGGTGGTAGCTCGTTCGGAAGATCGTCAGGAAGAATGTCTTGGAACTCCTTCAGTAAGTCCTTGATTTTTTCTGGAGGTTCCGAGGCTTTCTCTCCGTCATTCTCCACTTCTGTTGCTATCGCCAGGAACCCGGTGTCGGTTCGCTTCACGTCCTTCTCGAATCGTGCGAGTGTCTCCACTGGGATATCTCCTGTATCGTCCCAATTGGGTAGCTGTACTCTCCGTCCATTGTTGTAGATGCTCGCGGTGCAGTTCACCCAGTTGATCTCGGGGTTGAATCTTTTCAGGAAGTTTCGCCCGAAGATCAAGTCAAGCCCTTTGATGTTGGTGATGGGGAGTGCAGGTCTCCAGCGCAGTGGCCCGATTTGTAGGTGTAGCACTGCTTCGCCGTGTACTGGTAACTTGTTGCCGTCCACCATCGTTGCGGAAAATCCTGTAGGCTTGCACTCTTCTCGAAGTTGGTCGATGGTCGCCTTGTCGCATACAGTGTGCGATGCTCCGCTGTCCACGAGTGCTTGGAGGCGTCGTCCTTTGCAGATGACCTCGAGCACGAGGGGCAGGCGTTGCCCGGAGTACCCAAAGATTGTTTCATTGATTGGGTCATAGGGTACATTCCAATAGTCGTTGCTTCCTACTCCTGAGCTGGCAGCTGGCCGAGGCTGCTTGGAGAAAGGCTCTTCTCCAGGGCCCGGAGTTTCCGTGACGACTGTGCGCGTCATTGATGCCGAAGAACTGGATGCATCCATAGGAGGAGTTTGGGGTTTGTGCAGCTTCTTGTAGACCCCCAGCTTCCTCTAGAGCTGCTTCAGCTCCACCGACGTCTTCCCTGGGGAACGGGTAGTCGTTGTGGGCTGGTGTCGGGAGAGGACGTTGACTCCGTGGAAAGGTCGGCTTCTTTCCACACTCCTTAATTTTTTCCCCAAGTTCTCTGGTACCGGTATAATCTCCACAGCTGTCTGCTTCTTTTGGAGTCCCTCTCGAAATTTCTCCAAGGCTCTAGCTCTTCGAAAATCATAGCTTTTCATTAAAGCATCTTTATAAGATAACTTTAGCGAATCCTTATAATTTCTTGGGTCTTCAAGGAGTTTTTCTGTCTCGACAGAGACTTTTTTCCCAGAGTCATATTTTTCCTCGGCGATTTTCCTTGGCGAAGACTGGTCGTGGGGCGGAGATTTTCCCCCATCATTTCCTCCTCGTGTCAAATCAGCTTCGTCGAAGTTGATTTTCGCGGAATCCCGAGGCCGCTTCCGGATCTTTTCTTTTTCGCCAGCTAGATCCGCAATCACTGGCAAGTCCCGTTTTTTGGCTTCTGATTGGCCGAAGGATTTCCGCCACTGTTGCGTGCCCGATACTCAGCACGTGCTGCTTTCATTTTGTTGCAGTCGAAGATTCGATGACCCGGCACCCCGCAAAAATCACACGTGTAGTTGGTTTTTTCGGACGTGGCCGCCCCTCGAACCTGTCGACTTCCATCGGGTCGGCGAACGTGGGGTGAGCCGAGCGGTCGCCCTGTCGCATACTGCCGACGTGCGTCCGTCGTGTTCCGGCGTTGACCATGTCGAAGCGCTCCGCTGCCGAAACGACGTCACTGTAGCTCGCGTAGTTTGATGCTGCCACTTGTCGTTTGACTTCGGTCTTCAGCCCGGCGAGGTATGACTGTACTTTTTCCCCTTCGGTCAGGTCGGGAATGCGGTTATAAAATTCCTCCATCTGTTGTTTGTACTGCGCTACACTCCCGAACTGTCGGTGTCGATGAATTTTTTCCCGGGCAAGGAAACTCGAATTTATCGGCTCGAATCGTTTCAGCAGGTCGGCGCGGAACTGCTGCCACGTGGCTCCACCGTGGATGAAGGTACTGTTGCCGCCAATCCACTCGAGTGCCGGCCCTCGCATCAGTGTCGCCGCGAGTCGTACGCGTTGACCGTCCCAGGCAGGCGAGCTCCATCCGACGGCTGCGAAGTAGATCTCCATGCCGGCGATCCATCTGCGGACGTCGGAGTTTCGATCGCTTGGATCGAACGACTCAGGTGGGCGCAATTTTGGAGCCTCGAGAAACTGCTGCGACTGCTGCGTCGTCGCCGTTGTCGAGTCGTGTTGCGCTCCGGCGAGTCGAGTTACTCGCTCGAACTCGTTTCGCCACGCTTCGCGGTCCGCTCGCATCTCCTCCTGAAGGGCTGCGATGCGCGCGAAGAGCTGCTGGGTAACCTCAGCGTTGTCGAGGTTCAGCATCCTGTTCAAAAACACGTGCGGGGGGGGTAATTCGATAAAACGCGGAGCTGGTGCTTACCAGAATCAGCGTCGATGTGGTCGCCCCCGGCGGTTTTTCGAGGCAGGATCTCCGCTGCTGCTGCTTAGCTGAACGCGGCCGAGTGAGAAAAGCTCTGATTACTAAGTGTCACAGGATCGAATGTGTCGAGGAAAGGTTGCACTATCGATCAGTACAAGGCGCTTTTATACTTCCAAGATACATTAGGTAACCAGGTTTATCTTATCTCAAGGGAATAGACCCTTCTAGAAGATAGAATCACCCTGCGTATAGCCACGCGAGGCTATTGGCTTTAAGGGATTACGGCAGGATTACGCCAGATAGGGCACCAGTACATCCCAAGCCTGGTCCGTGATATAATTATAATAGTAGGATAAACCAAAGGTTAATGGAAAATGGAGAATAGGAAATCAAAGGAGATGGGATAAAAAAAGAAATGAAAGAGGAAGGAAATAAGAAAAGGGACAAGTGGTGTAACGGGGTCGTACTCTCACATAGGGGGTGTGTCAGCTTATACATGTGTTGTATGTATAAGTTATAGGCTAGCCTATGTGTGTGCTTCTAGTGAGTACAACCCCAGCAGGTATATGTTCTAGGTTTCTCACACTAGTCAATTCATTCTCGTATTCTAACAGCACCCTGTCGAGAGAAGCCCAAGGCATGTCATCACATCAGATCTGCAATATGTAAGTCGTCTGATCACGCGAGATCCAGTAAAATACGGCACAGTAAAGTGTAAGGCTGCGCTGGAGTTATACCCTTATGTGAAAAGTACAAATATTTAGGACCCTTTTTATTACAAGGTAGATTTAAAATATAGCCTTACAGAAAAAGTGGCAACAAACGAGTACCCTTACAAGAAAGGGTACTTGTAATCCTATCCAGAGTCCTGTTGTACCCTTTACAGTAATGTTCAATAACCACTACCAAGCCTACAATTATATACTAACATATATAATTTTACATATCATCCGCTGAGACGAAACTTACGAACCAGGCGTCGTTGGCCAATCCCTGCTGAGTTCTGTGGTATGGGCCAGCTTTGTGCCGCACCTGCGACCGTCAAGACCTGAGAGGATTTCGATCGGGAGGATTTTGACCATCAAATCACAGCAGAATCCGCGACTTCGACGGTTGAAATCTTACCAAATCTCAACCTTCGCTGACGTTTCCATTTTGCGCTGGAACTTGTGTTGATTTTTCTGCCATTTTTTTTGCTGTTATGGTAGTTGACATTGTCAACTTATACATGTGTTGCATGTAGAAGTTATAGGCTAATGTAGATGTGTGTTCCTAATGAGTACAACCCCAACTGCTATATGTGCTGTAATCTCCACCTAGTCATCATTCTTGCATTCTAACATGGTATCACGAGTAGGTTAGGTCCACCCGCCCGCCACCGCCCGTGCCCTAGCCTCTCGCCCCTCCCCTACCTACCTAGCCCCTCCTAGCCCCTGTCGCGCCCTCCAGGCCCCGTAGAGACCTACTGGCCCCCTGTCGCGCCCTCCAGACCCCGTAGCGCCCGCCTGGCCCCGTCGCGCCCGCCTGGCCCCGTCGCGCCTGCCTGGCCCTGTCGCGCCTGCCTAGCCCCGTTGCGCCTGCCTGGCCCTGCCGCACCTGCCTGGCCCTATCGCGCCTGCCTGGCCCCGTCGCGCCTGCTTGGCCCCGTCGCACCTGCCAAGCCCCGTCGCGCCCGCCTGGCCTCGTTGCGCCTGCCTGGCCCTGTCGCGCCTGCCTGGCCCTGTCGCGCCCGCCTGGCCCCGTCGCGCCTGCCTGGCCCCGTCGCGCCTGCCTGGCCCCGCCGCGCCTCCCTGGCCCCGTCGCGCCTGCCTGGCCCCGTCGCGCCCGCCTGGCCCTCTAGCGCCCCGCTGGGCCCCACCGCGCCCCGCTGGGCCCCACCACGCCCGCCCGGCCTGTTGCGCGCGCCGGCCCCTCCTAGCGCTGGCCCGGCCCCTTCCTAGAGCCGCTCGGCCCTTTCACGCCCGCCAGGCTCCTAGCGCCCGCCCGGCCCCCGCTGCGCCTCTTCGACATCCAGCGTTAGCCCGGCCCCTCCTACTGCCCGCCAGGCCCCTCTTCCTCCCTGCTTGGCCTGCCGTGCCACCTCGGGCCCTGTCTCCTCTACTCGTCCGCCCTGAGGCGCCTCGCGGCCGCCCTGCTGGAGCGTGCTGCTGCCGTGTCCCCGCGCCGCTGTGTTCCTATGGAGCTGTGCTGCTGTGTCGCTGTGGAGCTGTGTTGCTGACCCTGCACGATGGCTGACTTCGTGCTCCGACTGGACGCTGAGGGCCACGCGGTTGACTTCGCCGCCTGGCTCTCCGATCTCCGCCGTCAGCTTACAGGTCAGCGCCAAGATGGGCACTCTTTGGTGGTCCATGCTGATGGCTTGCCCCTGCTCCCCTCCCGTCTGACCCCACCTCTGCTGAGAGTGAGGCTTTCTCTACTGCTGCTCTTGCCTGTGCAGTCTGGGACTCTCGCGATGCTGTAGCTCAAGTTGCCATCAGTCACGCCCACCCCGTGTCTGAGCGCTTGCGCTTCGCTACGCTTGATACGGCCAAAGCTTATTTAGACGCTATTGTTGCTCGCTATTCCACGCCTGCATCCGCTTCTGCCGGCCGCTTGCTCTTTCGGATGTTGTTCCCAGACCTTGCTGCCTTCCCTACTGTTTCAGACTTTGCCACTCACTTGCGTGCTCTAGAGTCTCGCTATCGCACTGCCAGCACTGCTGCCCAGCTCACTGCGCTCCCCCCCCCTTTCTGCATGACGCTCTATTTTATCGCCATGCGCCTACCGGACCGCCTCGCTAGTGCTCGCGACCGCTTCCTTAGCCAGCACCCGGGTGACCTCACCCTGACCGCCTTTGTCGACCTCCTCACCGAGTTCGAGACTCACCAGCGCACTATCTCTCAGTCGAGCGGTGCGCCGGCAGTCTCTATCTTTCACGGTTGTGCCCCCTCCCAGTGCACGTTTACTGACGTTTCGGCTGCGGTCGCCACTGCGACCCCTCTTACCAAGACGGCTGCTGCGGTACACCCGCAGCAGCGCCCACGCCGCACTAGCCGTAGCCGCCAGGGCGGTCGTGGTGGTGGAGCTGGTGGTCGTGGTAGTGGTGGTGGTGACGGTAGTCCGCCTGACGCGACTACCATCGGTGGGCAGGAGCAGACGCAGTCGCCTCCGCAGCAGGAGCAGGCCCAGCAGCAGTCGCCGTCTCAGCAGCAGCCGCCGCAGCCGTGGGCTCGTCTCCCGCCTGGTTGGCCCGGTACCTCCGGCGGTGGTGGTCGTGGTGGCGGCCCGCGCAGCTTGGCGTCTACCGGCAGCTCTGTTG